ATCACTGACGTTTCTCCTACACGTGTGTTGCTGCACATGTTTCGTAGCCGACATTTTCTTAGGACCACTAAAGCTGGCGAGGGCTGACGTCTTCTAATTCTACGTTTCTCCGAGGGAAGCTTAACGGGAGGGAGGGGGGGGGGGGGGAGGCTTAGCTTTCGGGGAAGAAAGTTCGAAATTAGACGCCCAGGCCGGGGCGATTGTATCGCGCAGTACGTGATATGCCGTTTTTACGAGAGCAACTCTCCAGGCACGAAGAAGGAGTTGTTCATCTCGAGCACGGTCACAATTTCGTGTGAATCCTTTTTCGCGTCGATGCAATTACCTTCGTCTTCTTCGTTTCGTGCTGCACATACCTGTCGCTGCGTGCGTCACGAACGTCTCTTATGTCATCGCTTCTATAAGTCTTTTAATCCTCTGTGCGAATACATACACAAAAATAGCATTTTATTGGTAAGAAAAGCGATTACTCAATTTACTTTCTTTTAAGTGACAGGGGTAACAGTTATCTTTACATAAGAATATTTCTCTCTTCATAATTTCTCTCTGAAAATATTTATACTTGTTAAAAATTTCAGGAAAATTCATCACTATACGTACTCGAAACGAGAATTTATTTTTTTCTTTTGTAAGAATACTAGAAAATGGATAAGAAACGACTTAATATAATGTACAAATCGAATTTATTCGAATAATCTTCATTGAAATATTAAACTTAGTCGAGTGTTAAACTCTTACGATCGATTCGCGGATGTACGAACTTTTGAAATATTTCAAACAAGTACAATTATCACTTGCTACTAGAGTATATATTTTTCTATGTGCAGTCTGAAAGCCACGTTGATGTAATAATACCTGGGTACGACGGTAACGGATACGAAATGGAAATAAATCAAGCCTATATGAAATAACGATTCGATGAAACACAAATCTTATCTTTATTCTTGTACGAGTATAATTGGCACGTCCTTATATCGAATTACTTCTTTCTCGTACGGTATTCTTTCGCCCTTCAACGGAAAGTCACGTCTTACGGACGTGTGCGATTAACGCGCGGCATCTCTGATTTCTTAAGAGTTTCTCACGTCCTGGCGAGAGGTGTCCTGTGGAGTGAATCGCTGTACCTTAAACAGGGGTTGCTGGCGTCGCGGCTGGCGAGTGCATGGCGAATGGGTTCCGCAGGGATCACGGCTGACTGAGGATTTTCAAGCGGAACTCCTCGCGGGCAGAATGCAGAACGCGCGAGGTCCCCGAACCGGCCCTATTGATTTTAGAGAACCTTCTGGTGTGTGAGAGAGAGAGAGAGAGAGAGAGAGAGAGAGAGAGAGAGAGAGAGAGAGCGTCGGTAATTCCGAGCTTCCCTCCGTTCCCCTCGTCAAGTTTTCGAGAAGGGTCACCCCGTAATTTGAATATACGGCACCCTTCTGCGCGTTCACAGCCCCTCCCGGCCAATTGCACGTTCGGCATATTTCGTTCACCGTGCATAGCGCGTTCGTTCTCCCCGCGCTTCGAATACGTGGACGAGATATTTCATTTCGTGGGGTATCATTATCGCGGGGTTTTTTTGACCAAATCATTTTTCCGGCAAGCGGAAAGCGGAAGGCGTTAAAATTCGAGAATTTATCTTATCGAGAGAGAAACAGCACATTCTACTCTCATCTTATTTCTCATTGAACTCGACTGTTTGCTTACACTGCGTTTGGTTACGTTATACATTCGTATAGGCTTCTATACTGTCGATATATCGGCGCGCTGCTGCAATAATCTCAAATAACCTCACAAGTAACAAGCCGTAACCGTAAAAGTTTCGACGAAGGCGCAAATTGTTGATTCACGGACTCCACGTTTCTACGTTTTTATGCGTTGCAACGCATAAAAACGCAATTACTCGCGAGCCTTACTCCGCGGAAACGGAAGCGGTCGATCGCGTCAGAGGTATATCGGGACGCGAGCGCGAAACCGCTCGCTCTGTACGCTCGTGTAGACTAGTGTAGACTAGTGTAGACTAGTGTAGACTAGTGTAGACTAGTGTAGACGTCGATTGCAAAATTAACCAATTCCGCGACCGGCGACGCTTTAGCCGCCTTTGATCGTCGAACGTAATATTTTCGCTGTACCGCGCGTCAGCGACTTCCTTTGTGCGCGGAAACGGAGTTTCTCGATAGTTGGGCGGTTTAACACGCTTAGAACTTAATTCGTCCAACTTCCGGCGACCTCGCCGTGACTAGAGACTCTACAACTGAATCTGGCCACGAGCGAGTTTGTCAAAATTCTACGAGAGAGAAAGATGTATTAATATACTTTCTCTTTGGTATATGTATATTATTTTATTCCAACTTATCCAGAAAAATATATACTCTACGCAAATAATAATTACTTGTTGTCAAGTAAGTATTTCAAAAGTTTCAAATTTAGTCAAGAAAAAAAAAACTGTATATATACTTTGAATCGTAGGAAGTTTAATATTATACTTCAGTCGACATTATTAAATTGAAATAAATTCGATTTGCTCATTACATAAAGTCGCTTCTTCGATCAATTATATGTATATCGTTCAAAAGAAAATTAATTCTTGTTTTGACTTATATATATATACTAATGAGCTCTTCTAAAATTTTTAATAAGCGTGATTGTTATCGAGAAAATATTCTTTGGTAACTTAAAAGAAAGAAAGGTAAATTCAGCGATTAATTTACTTTTCTTATCAATAGAATATCTTTCTATGTGTATTACTTTGTTTTCGTCTCACTTTATAATCTTAATTAAAATTATTAAATGAGACAATAAAAGTGAAATAGTATACTTATATACAGGAAAGAAATATATATACTTTTCTCTTACTTTATAGGGACTTTGATAAAATCACTCGTAGTCAGACTGTTATAGGATCTCTAATCGTGACTAGAGATTTGCCCTGTAACGGCAAATCGAATTTGTTTTTAATTTAACAGTCTTGATATAAAAGTATTAAACTTACTGTTGGAATTCAGAATATATTTGGAATAAATTTGAAACTTTCTATGAAATTACAACAGAATTTGGCTCACCACGCGAGATGACAATTTTTGATTGCTTCGTCATTTTTGTCAGACCCTTAAGTAAGCTGAAATGAGTAGCAGCCGGAGTAGATAGGAAAATGTAAGATAGTAAGACGTGAGCGGTAAGCGAATTAGCCGATAACAATAGAAAACGGTAAGGCAATAACCTTACATTCTCTACTGCGATTGGCTGATTCTTTTACCGCCTTACATTCTCCTCTATGTGCCATGGGCTTAAGATAGTATATAGGTTGGAATAAGATAACATTCGATAACCCTTCCTTCTCAGTTTTCTTTTGACAACTATTTCGACTACTCGTCGTGGCCAGACTTTGTCATAGAATCTTCAGTCACGACGAAGCACGAAAGTAATTACTTGTCTATTCTAACGGGACGATTCTCGTCGCGAAACGATTTTTGCCGCGCCGCGCCGCGCCGCGCCGGCGTGAATTCTCGACGCAAGAAAATTCGCGTGCGGTTCGTACATTTTCGCGGGGCCGGCCCGCGATAATCTGGGCTTATCGATCGGCGCTCAGTTGCCAACTTGGCAGTGGCGAACTCCCGGAATTACGAGTGAAATGCTCTACATAGCGACGCGGTTGGCAAATCAGATCCGCTTTCATACCTTTGCTAAGGGAGGATACATTGAATTCCAACTCACCTTCCGGTGGGCCAGACTTTCGCAATTCGACGACGCGAATGTCCACGTCCAAACGCGGTTTAGTTTAACGCAGCGGGTTTAATCGCATCCTTCCAGCATGTTGTTCCAGATCTCTGATTCGAGGGATAATGATTGTTTAAAAAAGGAAAAAAAAAAATAATATATCCACCGTGTGTACTGTACACATTGTACAGTAAGTGTACAATAAGGCTCGAAATGAGTGAACGAAATAATGTCCACGTCGGCCCCTTCCCTTTCGTTTCGTTGATCGAAGCGTTTCGAAAGGGTACAAAACTTGCACGTCAAAGGGTTTAAGGGAAAGGGGCTGGACTTTTTTTTTCCCCATGCCGAACACGTTGTTCGAGTTTCGGGTTAAATCCCGGACAGAGTGGTTTTCATGCCACTACCCCGACGGTCGTCAGGCTCGTCGTGTGTATAGTTAGTTATATGGTATTGTAACCTACGCGCTTTCTAGCAGTCGGCGTTAGTTCCCTCCTCGCTCGCTCGCTCGCTCGTTCCCTCGTTCAGATTTGTACTTAAAAACTTGTGGGGTCAGTGGTGCTCACAGCTAGACTTGCTAGATTGACGCAATCAATTAGGAACGTGGTAGTAGAATGGAACCGGTAATCTGGTGTAACTTTGACTCCGTGCGGTCGTACTGTAGAATTGTTGAAGCAAATTACATGCTACTGCCTTGGCTTTGCGCTAGGAATTTCACATGGGATTTAGAGACTGCACGACATCGAACGATTTCACGAGTATATCGGTTCTTTGAATTAGTTACGCTTGCAAATTTGAATTTTATTGGAAGGAACATTTTATCCATCAGAGAGAGAGAGAGAGAGAGAGAGAGAGAGAGAGAGAGAGAGAGAGAGAGAGAGACAGAGAGATAGTAATGAATTCGCAAACTTGTAGTATATAATTCACAGCTTAAGACTATATTGTATTCAATAGCGTCGATCGATATAATACTCATCGAGTACTTTGATTCAAAGAAATTATAGCATTGGGCTATCTATAATACGGCGAACTTAGAAAGACACGCGATATATTTCCGAGATATCTTTTGCAGCTTTTCTCGCAATTAAATGATGCATTTTGTAGAAAAGGAAAATGGTAGGGGTGAATTATTAAAAATTATCAGAAATGCTGGTCTGCCTTTGTTTGCGCGAGCAAAGTTTAATAAAGTTAATAAAGTTTAATACAGATTGTTTTGCATACGGTGCGATACAAATTGAATTTTGTGTGTGTGTGTGTGTGTGTGTGTGTGTGTGTGTGTGTGTGTGTGTGTGTCTCTAAATGGTTATCGTTCGGTTCTCATACACAGAAAAATACATACAGCACGCAAGCAACAATTACTTGTATTCAAAAGTTCCCAAGTATATTTGCAAATTTATATCATAAGTTTATTACAAGCATCAAACTTATTAAAAATACATTCTGAATCCTCGCTAATTTATAACAATTATTACAAGATTAGTAAATTCAAGCAAATTCAATTTATTATCAAAAGGTTGTTTCATCGAAACTAAGTTTACGATATTCTACAAAAGAAAATAAATTCTTGTTTTGAATACATATAATTTTTTTAAAGCTTGAAGTAGATACATTTTGAGATAATTATCGAGAAAATATTTTTCGTTCGGGATAAATTGTTGCTACAGGAAAAAAAAAAATGAAATCGAGTAATCACGTTTGTCAGTAATAGAATATTTGTATGCGTTTAACGAAGCGAAATACGCGTTTCGTATCGCGACGTCGGCGTTAAGTAGTTAAGGTTCGAGGTTCGGTGGCGCGATTTGAGAACCGCTGTGATCGCGCAAGCAGACAGGCAGACAAGCAGGCAGGGTCCGCGTTGGTCCGCTTATTCGGGACTCGGGACGCGGG